ATGGGTCAAAGAACTTGAAAGGTCAGAAAATACAATCCGGGTGCAAGAGCAATTATTTGTGATTTACTGCCATTGTGTCATTGGGTTGATGCAGTTCCTGAAAACTCTGATGCTTGGGATGGTCTTTAAAGGAAAGTTAAACAAAATGTGTTCAGTGGAAAAGCTGCAAAACATCATTTATCATTTTGTTTTTCAAATCAAGCTGAGAGAGATTGTATGTCTTGGGGTGCTGCTAACAAGATTCTCCTGGCAGGTGAAATTCAACCTCTTTGGCCAAAACCCAAATAAATAGGCTGTGTGCTGGGAACAAAAAATGGTCTGTAGGACTAAGGGCCCCATTCTGTGTTGAGTGCTTTGGCCCCAGTCCAGTGAGTGACTTGCACATGGGCTAAGCTTGTTCCCAGTGGCTTCAAAGGGAGTACTTGTCTCCTTAAAGTTAATCATGTCTGCAAGGACTTTGCTGGATCAGGGCCAGGTGGTTCAGCACTTTGCACGATTGATCCCAAAGCTGAAGCTAGGGATAAAAGAAAATGCAGTATCCAATGTAGGACATGGGATTTGGATGCCCCCAAATTTTAGTTGCCCTCATTCGTATGGCTGCAGGAGCAAACTAGGGAAGAGTCTCCCATTTCCATTACCATAAAGATCTGCCCACGGGAAGCTGGCCAGGGGAAAGCCAACTATGAGATTCTTGTAGGGAGTCCCGTTCACAAGCAGACACTACACGGTGCCATTTTAATTGCATTTTCAGCTCAGGTATCAGACCAGGGCAGCAACTACACTTGATCTTAGGCCTGGGCCTGCATGTAGGATGCCGGCCAAAGGATTTGGAAGTATCTGAGGCCCCAGGCTGGGGTAGACAATACTTGCTCATAGTAGGGCCACATATGGTTCTGGAACGATTCAAATGGATTCAGATTTAATCTGGAACATGAAAAATCCCCCCACACCCAAAAAAAAAATACAGTTCAGGGCATGGGGTTGTCATTTTTCCATTTCCCCAAGAAGAGAAGAGGTTGGAGCATTACCTGCTCATGCAACTAGCGGTGATATTCTGCCCTCTCTATGCTGAGATAGGCAGAGACAGTACAGAGTCCTTCTCCTCTCTGTAAAGGGATTGTAGAGCTCGGTCCATTTTGGTACCCTTTTTCGATATCAATGTTTACAGTCAATCCAACATCAAAGAGTGAAATGCTTCCTCCTTTGGTGTCAAGGGAAGCTGTGACCTTAACCTTGTTGGAGCTAAGCTTCCACCACAGTACTGAAGTGCTTAGCAGATCTGCCTTCCCCTGTGCCACAGTTCCCTGGTACAGGAATCCTTCTGCAGCCCCTTCACTATTGCAGTGTTATCAGCTTTAAGCTCATGCTAGAGCACTGGAAACCACCCAAATTTGGGGGCAGGTTGCATCCAGAACAGCATCCAGATCTGAACTCATAGATAGGCCCAGCAGCTAATACCACAATGACAACAGCAGGACCACAAAGTAATGAAATGTGGCCTCTTCTGGGATACAAGTCATGATGGACAACAGTGTCATAGGGGGGAATATAGTCTAAAAGCACAAGGAAAGACTCTGCACGATACCGTGAGGTCTCAGGGCCTTGTGGAAAAGTTAGGAGCTAAGTTTTGTTTATACTAGAAGCATGAAAGGCTGAGCTTGCTCTGAAGGCGTGTGAACCCATGCATCTAATGACATAAGTATTTGAAGAAGAACATTAGATCCTGCCCCCTCCCTTTTCATTTTTTGGCCAGTCTATAAAGCAAATTCTCTTTCGTCATGTGTCTGCGGTATGCATTTTGCTTACTGTTGATACAAGGCTTCCACAACAATGAAGTTTCAGACTAGAAGCCAGTGCTCCTCTCCTTCGGATCAATATGCTGTCAAGGAGGAACAATTGACCCAGACAATAACCCAACCTGTTTCTGTCTTCCTTAGTGGGAAATGGTCATTGAGTTCTGGGAGGAGGTTCATAAACAGCCTAGGGCGTGTGAGGAGGAGAATGACCTCAGAGCTGAGTTTTCACTGGAGAACAAAGAGATCTGCAGGCCTGATTTGAAAAACACCCACAAGACCAAGTAAACGGCTTAATGTAATAAGTATCTACACGCGTCACTATGTTGCTTAATTCTGTTTATTCTCACTTCTACTTTTACACACCGAGTTCCTCCGCTTATTACCATACAGCTGTCAAGTTTCTCAAACAATGCTCGTGTGGGCAGTTCGTTCCAAGGTAACTTCATTCATCTCACATTCATGCAGACTGAAGATTCATCCTTTCTTCTTTCCTGAGGATGCTTTGCAACGTCATTGTTCCCAGATTGTTTGTCCCTTCTTATGGTATTTCTGGCTCCCTTCCAGTTTGCTTTCCAGTTTCCCTTGAAATGGTCCTTCCTGCAGCGAGCAGTGACTATAGACAGTAGGACAGTTGTCCCCTGGGCTGAGAAATCTGCAAACACCGTCTTTCTAAGCTGGCTGCTTCTGTGAGAAAACACCCATTTTTGTCTGTCTCAGGTTCTTCTTAAGACCTTAAAACCCTTTTTGCTATTGACTACATGCAAAATGGGCCTCTGAGATCTGCAGAACACCCCTAAGGAAACCCGCCACCACTCTGACTTCTCAGCCTTGTTTGGCCTTGCAGCAGTAGTGACAGATTTGCTAAATGCTTCAGAAACCTTTCTAATGCCCTTAGCTTGGTTAAGGGTTTATACCAAAAATAGGTCACACTCAGGAATTTTCTTTGGCTTTGGGGATGCGTTCAACAAAGGAAGTTTGAATAAAACTCTTTCAAGGCATGCCATCAGTGAAGGTGAAAACTAGCTAAAAACAGAGCCAGGACCTAAAACACAGAGAGGGAAAGAATAAAAATTGTGGGTGCATCACTGGTTAGCTACAACTTTCAGTGATGTTGGTTTTGCCCACTGTTCACTCAGCTGAAATCTTGGGAATAGTTTCTGGCTATATTCAAAAATGAATTGAAAGACCATTGGAACCTGAAATACTTTGGAAGGCAGAGTTACATTGCAAAAGTGCCTTGTAGTCACTGGTAACAGTGCCCTGGAGAGTTATTCTGCAATAGACTGGATAATGCTAGTTTATTGTTTATAGAGCAGTTGTATCTATGAGGAAGCTAAGAGTAGTTGTATCCCAGAATACGCCTCCAGAGTTGTTTTGGCAATAAAAACAACTCTACTGCTGTTTATACTGATTGTCTCATGAGTGTTGACATTTCTAATGTAACAGATTTTTATTTGATGTATTTTAGTTGACATCGGTTTGATAAGATCTACGCACTAACCCTGTCGTGTTTACCTTCAAGGGATGAAGTGACAAAAGCCCGACTGTTTGAACAGGTTCTGCATACACATCCTCATCGACTGACTTGCTCATTTGATCATGTCGCTAAGTAAAAACCTTCCAAGCAAGGGCTAGATAGCTTGGATACTACATGAGGCGCTTTCAGCCCCAAATTTCCCCCATCCTATTGGTGGCAGATTTGGGTGTTATGTCTCGTGGCTTTGTCAGGGTTGACGGTGTCGTTGTGCTAAGAGGTTAGACGATGGGTTTGTATAGCACGGTTTAGACTCTAACCAACCTCCTGCTTGAGGAGGTTGGACTCTAGATGGTCTCTGAAAGTCCCTTCCAGCCCTACTTCTCTGTGCTTCTGCATGCCTGAAACTTTGCCTCTGGGTGGACTTGAAGGAGATGGTCATGACCCCTATGACCAGCCTACCTAATTGCTCCTCTCTCTCTGCTACACTGTTATAGCTGAGGTCAATAGCAGAGGTATCCAAATTAGACCCCTCGCTTTCGAAAAGAGGAGACAGCAGTGAGGGCTTCTGCATGTTGAAACCCACTTCCTTCCTTCATCTGAAGTAACGTGAATTTGGTGTCTTTCCGGACCTACTACAAGGTTTCAAATGCAATAAGTGGCATGCATGGTCCTAAGTAATGAAGGGAGTAAGGTAGCTAGCGGGTTAGCTGAATTCTTAAGGAACTGGTTATTTTAAGGCTGCCTAGATTTAATGTAATTGCATTAATTGCATAATGAATGATGTTAGGTTGCCAAGTGCCTTTGATGGGCATCTAAATAAATAAATATATCTGTATTGTGTCTGGTTTCATAATTGCTTCTGGAACATAGCTGTTGCAAAACATGTCGTTTTCTTCTTGCTTCCTATCTCTGTCCCCACCCAAGTTTAGAGAATCATAAGTGAATCCTGGGAGAGAAGCAGACAAAAAACTATGTTTCTAACATGGTTATTATATATCTGGCTTGTTTTGGGTTTTTTTTTTTTTTTTTATAAATCCACAGGCAAAAATTAAGTCATGTTATTACAGGATGTGTCCACAGCCATCCTTAAGTGCCCTTATTTCTGTAGTGTGGGCTATGCCTTGAGTTAATTACTCAAGGTGGTGTCAGGCAGGGTATATTTCTCAGGCTTGCAAAGTAGATTATCTTCCGAAAACCTAACAGACGGCACATTGGAGAAACAAATGAGATGTTTAAGTTACCACTCTGTCAAGCATCCAAGAAATGTTACCAGCATAGCACCAGCACATCACCTGTAAATCCGCCTGGCTGTGCAGATAGACACAACACTACTGACCTCATTTCATGTGGAAAATATTATGGCGATGGAGCATGCAGGACAGGAAACAATGAGAGCAGGATTTATATTTAAACATGAAAGCTGGAAGGTGTTTGACTTCAGTATTTGTGCATCAAGAAGGAAAATATTGCAAAATTCAGAGTAAGCCTGCCCACTGACAACAGCTCACATGTGAGATGCGCTGCACTAGACGAGAGGTTCTTTATGGCAATTTGTAATGCAAAATGATCAAATATGGCAACAGCTTGAGAGAGATTTTTACCGGTAGGGAGTTAGGAAGAATGGGTAGTGATGGGAAGTTTTGTCAGTTTGTGCTCCAACCTCTCAACCCCTACACCAAGACAGAGAGAGAAACCGAGTTGATTATCTCCATTGTGTTACTCTCCAGGGAGAACACCAGCACTGAGACATCCAGATGGAGATGTCAAACGACCCAGTGAGAGGTAAGGACAACCATAGAGGGAGGCAGTTGTAACAGGAGAAATAAATCCATGAACTACTGGTATAGGGTCACCCCATGTCCACTATTTATCCCTCCATGTTAATGAAATGTTACTGGCTTTACTTTTTGGAAAGGCTGCAACCCTTTAGACTCTAAATGGCAAGATTATCCATCTGTGTGCAAGTCATCAAGGATAAGACTTTCAGCTCGTGCAAATCATGGACCATTGACTATAACTGAACTATGCTTATTGCTTCTGAGGACCTGGCTCATATTACTCTGGGATCCTCAGGGTTCAGGTTATAATCTTATCATAGATTTTTAATTTGATTTTACCTATTGGGCTTGGGAGACTTCAGGATTGTTCTCCATTTGCCATGGGCACACAGACATTTGGACTGGGTAAATGAAAATAGAGGTTTTTAGAGGTGGGATCTCTGGCCTGGCCCATAATCTTTTGCAAGGGAAAAGCATATGGTTTACAACTGGAATAAATTTGGAGCCTATTTTCTTGCTGCTGTTACTGGTATTACAGTAGCCATCTTTTAGTGAATTCTCATAACACCTTGGCAGTTGTTCTTTCCAAAGCTCACACTGGGCACGTCTACATGTGCACCGGACTGCACAGTAACTGGTGCTACTGTGCAATACTGACGTTGCACATTTTTCCCTACGCTACTGCACAGTAGCAACCAGCTACAATGCAGCATTGTCAGTGTTAGGGTTTGTGCCCGCCGATGCTGTGTTCGTGCCCGCCCGTCATTGCTACAGCGATGTAGTCTCGTGTAACTTAGATGCCATTGTTGTTGGTTTGATAATGTGGCGCCCATCTGAAGCTTGGCTGCATCAGGTGAGTTGGAAGCTGTGCTTCTGTTTAGAAGCAAGGAGGTTGGCATGAAACACAGATGTGTCATTCTTCCTGCAATTCATCACATTATCCATAATGTGATAAATCATATTACCATTTTCATACCATTATCCCTTTTGGCTGCAGCAGGGAGCCACTATCCAGGGTCTATCAGACTGTTTCTATACACATATAAGAACATAGGACTGAAAGAAATTTCCTAGGATACAGAGTGCACTCTCATGAACCTCCAGGCAGCAATTTGTTCAGAAGTGCTCTCAAAAGCATTCACTCCAGCCCTTCTCACACCACACAGAACCCAATTAAATAAAACCAAACCCTACCATGTGCTATCTGCAGGCTGTAGTGGAGTAGGTAGGGATCATGCTTTCCACTTAAACACACAGAGCTGCAGGCACCAACTCCATACCAGGAAAAGTGCTATGAAACATTTCCCCATCTTTCCTACTCTAACAGCAAGCTAGAGTTAAGGCACAAGTGAAAAGACAGTAGCAGTAACCTTGACGTTTCGTATCACCATCCTCCTGCATTATCATTCGAATATCTGATACACGCCAGTACCATACTAAGAGCTATACAAGTTACAAAGCAGGGCATATTCTGTGCTTCAGAAAATAGAGCTGTGACTATAATCCAGTAAATCAGTATGAGATGAAATGGGCTTTGATACTGAAGAATGTTAAGTGATGTTGCAGAACAAAGCTCTCCTATCCAGTCGCTGTTAGTAACCCGTTGTTTTTGAAGAGGACGTATAGCAAAATGAAAACACTGCAAACAACAGAATTGAGGGTGTTGGCTCCATTCACTGAAAGTGGCCAGCATTATCTAATCTGATTCATGACCTGCCATTTACCTATTGTTGAATATATTATATTACATCATGTCCTTTTTAGAGCTGCAACAAACTGTTCTGTTGTTCTCTGCCAACAAGATCTGATGGAAACGTTCCTAAAAGTTTGGGAAGGATTTTTGTGCACCTCTGTCGGCTGAATGTGATCCATGAGGCCCTCTGAGTGGAGAAATCTAAGCTTGCAAATGCATTTAGCTGTTCAAAGTAACCTTCACTGGGCTTAGTATGTGATCAGTACACTAGGGCGGGAGAGGAGGAGGACATTCTTTGCAACATCAACACTTATATTTCATTGTAATCATTTGCATATAACTGGTTATTAATTATAAGTGTAAATTACCTGATTAAATTTAATTATTAGTGGCTGCTGTTGCCCCACACCTATGCTCAGCAGCCCTCCAGGTGTGACGCATGGGTGAGATACAAACTCTTGAAGTCTTAAGGAGACAATGGTCCTGCCTTGTGGCACTTTCCCTTGGGCCTGATTATCTAGATGTTCAAATGATGTTCTGGTATTTGCACTGCAACGCCCGAACTTTGAAAGAGTGCTGCACCTGACTGCTATGGCACAGAAACTACTGAGCTTGCTCTTTTTCTTCTCATATGTGTTCCCCTGACCGGGTTAAAAAGCAGAAGGGAAACTCCCTTAAATAACTGTGTTTTCTGCTCTCTTCACTCCAAATTACCTGTGGGAAGACGAATGGTAGAGAGCCCCAGACTCACCAGTTCTGAGCTGAAAGTGCTTTGATTTCTCATGGTTTTTAGATGTCTACACTGATTAGTACATGGGCTGTGTAAAACACAATGTTCAAATTTCTGCTGGTATAAACTTTAAGCAAAGCTCTGGGTTATTTCTTTCTCTTGTCTTCTATGACCCCGATCACCTAACATAGTCAGTCAACAAGTAAAATCGATTTTCAGGGCCTCTTTTCTCAACCTTCAGTGGCCAAATACCATCTTCTTTTCTTTCTTTCTTTCTTTTTTTTTTTTTTGAGATCTGGTTTCACTTAGACGAATTAAATGTCAATATATTTGTTGCTGTGAGATGTTCCAGTGCAGATTACAGCACCATTGCATGACTATAAAGTCTGTGCATCCGTCTGGTGCTGCGTGCTATTTATGTCTGTCTTTTCAAATGTTTAATAAACACTTTATATTGATATTTTCAGTCTCCTCTTTGTATTGAGGTTTTGAATGTGTAGTCCAAGAAATAGCTTTTTATTTTTATGCTGCCCAACTCACAGTCCAGCCTATTCAAAACATGTTTTTTATGCCTTTATTTGGACTGTTTTTTTTTTTTTATTCTTAAGAGTTGTTCTTGAAAGAACAGACCTGAAATATGTAAAAGGATGTAGGAAAAAGGCATTGCTCATAATGGGATAATTGTAGAACTGAGGTGCAGCACATTTGCTTGGCACAGGCCTCTTGCCACTTGGTATGTGGCAGCCTTACCATCCTCAGCGAGACTCCAGCTCAGTCTTCCAGGCGGAGGAGATCAAAACAACGAAACAATTTATATTAAACAGAAACTGGAGAAATTTGGAAAAAAAAAAAACCTCATTCCATTTACTTCAAAGGAGCTACAATGGATTTCAGTTTCTCTGGCTAAATTGAAGTATTATGGTCCAGATACTACTCCCATTTAAGTCAATATTAAGACACACTCTGCTCCAGAACACAGGGTCTGTCTGATGTGTTGGGTTTGGGTTTTTTTTGTCATGATCCAGCCAAGCACTTAATCCCACATGCAGTTCCTTCCAAGTTAATGAGAGTTGTGGACATACTTGGAATTAATTGCATGCTAATTGGGCAGTTCACTAATTGGGCTCTGTCAGGTGCTGGGACTTGAGCCAGAGTGGATAATTTCAGATGCGAGAGCAGTTCCCTCTTGGGAAGGAGGTTGTGGGGCTAGCAGCTTTAATAGAGAGCTTTTTCCATCATGAGCCATCAGGAGGGCCATCAGGCATGGTCTCTGGAAGACAGGAGTAAACCTGGACCAGCAGAAGGCTGCTTTAGCAGTCCCGAAAGAGTGAAGAGAAGAAGTAGTGAAGTAATGTCCTTCAAGAGCAAAGGGGGAAAAGCTTTCAGACTTCGAACAAGTCATCTTAGTACATTCTGGGGCTGGGAGAATTGAGCAAGGGCCCTCATTGTCATAAGGCAGAGAAAAAGAAGATGCCTCCCTTTTAGAGTCTTAATCCTACAACATTTTTATGAAAGAGAAATGAGGGTATGACCCAATTTCAAAGGAGCCCTAAGTGCTGCAGCTCTTCCTATTTCTCAGTCTCTGAACTGAACATCTTCCACAGTTACACAATAAAGACTAAAACTGGAAATCGTTCAGATCCTCTCGCATGTGAGGCAGGAACGTGGGATGTGATTTCCTACCCCCATGCTAAGAGTAAAACTCACTGGATGCATCTGGGGTGAAAGGGAGAGTGCTCCTTTCCATTTGCAGGTTTCCATTTGCTTTCTTCTTGATTTAATCAGATTCGCAGCCCAGAATTATTTTGGAACAGAGGTTTTCACATTGTTTTGCTTAATATTTTACAAACAGACTGTTGACTGAAGTAACGCTGAACAAAAATTCACCCCTATTTACATAATGGGGAAATGTCATCATGATGGGTGTAACGACAACTAATGGAGTACATGAGGTGAAGGTGCTATATAAAGACTTGACTCAATGGAATGCTGTCAGAGGCAATAAAATGTTGTGGCTTAGTTGAAAGCCATGTTTATTGGGAGTAAAGTGCTAAACTGGATATTTAGAGCTCCTAAGCTATTGTTGCTGCTCTGAGCAAGTCAGCAAAAGCCAAATCAGAGTTCATGCCCTTTTCTCACATCTGCTCATTCTGGTTCCACCCCCAAAAAAGAAAAGTGCAAATAAAATACACTAGAAAGTCTGGCTCTTGCCCCGATTCCGTTTTGCTAAAGCTCCCAACTGGGGGTCATCGGGTTTTGGTGTGTGCCCAGGGGAAAGGCACTTCATGTGCATCTCTTCTTCCATCTGGTGTCTCTCTCTTCTCTTTAAGGGGCAATGTTTGTAAAGGCATCGACATGAGGTGGGTCTTTGGACACCTAGATGCCTGAATCAGGGTCTTCTGTCATTTTGTATGCATGCCAGACCCAGAATAGTGAGGCTAAGAGACTTCAGATCTGTGAGATGTGTAATACATGTAGAAGATTTAGAAGAAGCACCAGGCCTTTGCCATGGTGGAATCTTCCAGCCTTATGAAATCCATTCATAGCTAAGCATCCTCCCAGCATGCTTGGTCTTACCCCTCTATTTTTAACAGCAAACATTTTAGGGAAATATATTTCTGAGAATGCTCCGCAAGAGTTGGGGAAGTTTCAACACACTTCCTCCTCTGAGGAACCGAGCAAAATGTATGATATCTGGAGGAGGTGGGGCAAGAGGAATCACGAACAAGCATGTCCAAGAACAAAGAAGAGAATAAAAAAATGGAAGTTCTCATCCAAACATTGCTGTTAGCAAGGGGAAGGAAAAACTTCCTTGGCAACATCTGAGAATCATTCACAGGAACTGATCAATGAGCTTCGGTGTACGTAGAATGTCACAGATTTTTTCCCCCTATCATTTCATTGGTTCGCAAAATCGTTGGCGTCATTCGTTGGGTCGCAGAAGGATTTTCAGAAAGGGGGTAAAGGATTTAAAACTTGTTTTTTTTGTAAAACGTCTTTGACAAAGTGCCTAAAAATGTTAGGAACACAAAGTCCCATTGCAAGTCATTCCTTTGGGAGGTTTTGGAAGTCTCCACATTAGCAGCTTGTAATAATGATCGTCCTGAGCCTGTTCTGTAGACGGCAGTGTACGTCAATAGATTTAGCAAAGGGTGTTTGAGTTCAGATCTTTGCTCTACCAGTGATTCATTCTTGGAAAGTCATGCAACTTCTCTGTAGCACAGTATCTTCACCAATTAAAAAGGGTTTATATTACTGGCTGCTCACTGAGGCTCATTGGAGGAAGTTCTTTTATGTTGAGAAAGGATGCTAAGGCTTGTCAGTATAAATGAGCCATTGCATCAATAATTATAATAACATTATTAATCATCGATGCTCATGCTAAAACAATTTGTCAGGTTTTTTTTAATCACATATCCAAAATAGTTGGGAAAACTTTTCAGAAATTCTTAAGACTTTCAAGGCCATGAGGGCTCTGAAGTCACTCAGCTAGCCGGGAAAATTGTACTTCATGGTCCTGTTGCATATCCTTGTTTTAATGCTGAAGATAGTCACATGCAAATATCCATGAGTATGCCCATAGTAGTAGTAGTATCAGTAATAGTAGTAGTAATACAGCTGTACCCAGGAACCCCAACAGAGATCCTTTATGCAAGCCCATGTTCCAACACTGCTTGTTGCGACAGATTCAAAGCTGCCCCCAACCCACAGCTTTCTGCCAACTGTAGTGTGCTTCAGAAGAAAAGTTTTGCCAGCACCAATAGAAATGAGAGAGGGTGCCAATGAAATGACATTTTAAAAATATGATGACTTTCTGTTGGCAAAAGTAGAGAGCAGAATCAACCCAGTAGCCCTTGATTTATGAACTGTTTTGTTGCTTTTAGAGTCTCACGGTATTTGTGGGTATTTTTAAGGAACTGTTTTAAAACCAGTCAATATGAAGGAAAAAAAAATTGTAATCCGCATTGTGTTTTTTATTTATTTTCTATATTGGCTTTTGGTTACAGTTTGCCCTCCTTTTCACACCTCACATTACGAGGCTTTTTTTTAAAACAACACAACAGTTTCCAAAGTTTACTTGGTGTCAAAAACAACTTTCTATAAGATTAGGTCAAGAGTCGTCAGTGGACGCGACTACAGTGAACTTTTAAAGCCATGAGCAAAACAAATCTTATGAATATTTCCAAAGACTGTATTCCAAGAAATATTTTTGGAAACATTAATGTTGTGTTTTTTTTTAAACGAAGGCCACATTGTGAGGATACGACACCATATGTCACATTCACTATTGAACTTGAAAAAAAAAGAAAAAAGAAAGAAATGGAAGCAATGTTTGGCTTCAAAGTGTTTTTGGAATAGCATCTATGCATGCCTGTCATTGTTCCTTGGATGGAAGACGAACTCTTAGCCTGTTAATCTAGTTCATCCAAGATGTATTATTCTGATTCTCCACTGCTCTGCATCTTGTGCTCTTGTATGCACCCATGCAAAATGGGCACAGGGTTGGTGCAAAACACTAAATTGGCCAGAAAACTGTTTTTACCTTCCCTGGAAAATGTTGGCTTTTCAGTGTCACACACACAACTTCAAATTTTCAGCTAAAAATGGAAGAAAAATGTGTTTCATCTGTCCAGTCAAAATATTTTTTTTGAGGAGAGCAGACCATCTCAGTAGAAATTGTGAAAAAGTTTCAAATGACAAATTTCAACCATCCCAGCAAAATATTATAGTTCTGTTTTGTCAACATTTTAAACTCATATGTAGGGAGGGATGTATGCGCTGGCTGTGCATGTGTGGTCAGGGGGTAGAGGCAGCAGGGGGGAAATCATCTATGTAGATGCAAGGCATTGGTTAATCGCTTCTTCAGTGTCACCGCTATTTTGTGTTGCAGTATGACCATATTACAGTCCTAGTTTTCCTCTAACTTTATCTAATTTTAACAGCGGTGGAATACCAATGATGTAAATGGAGCTGGGCTCAATTTACTGTGATGAGAGAGATGAAACAGACCAACTGGCTGCCTGTACATGACATGATCTCCTAGGAAGAAAAGGAGATGAGACCTTATAGCAAGACTGCTAGAAAATTTTTGCAAAGTTGTAAAAGAAAACCAAGGCACTCCTGGCATAAGTTGCTTTGTGAGCAAAAATGAAGGTAGAAGTGTGCACGCGTGTGATGTGCGTGTGTGCAGATATGCCTGCTACTTTTCCATGTTTGTTGGATGCACACTGAGAATAGATGCTTCCAAGTCTGACATTTCTTTTCCAGGCACACCAGCATAAATGCCAGTCTACTGACTTCTCTTGAGTTTCTTTGCATTTACAGTGGCACAGCTGAGAGCAAAGTTTAGCCCACAGAGCTGAATTTTGAATCTGGGGGCCTACATCATTCTTTAAGAGACTGCTTCACTTGACACTTAGGCCCAGATATTAGAGGAATACCCAAGTCCAGTTTAGGTTCCAAACTCTTCTTTCAATAAGTTGGGTGCCTAAATACCTTTAGGCATATCTACTTTATCATTTCAATCCTGTATGTGTGTGTCAAAGTGTTGTCCTAAGGACTCTAATCTAGGATTGGGCATCCTCATTTAGGTGCCAATGGTTGGAAACAAGGTTTAACATTTAGAGAAATGTTTAGAGGAACCCTTGTGATGAGCCTTTTTCCTGTAGTTTTATATTTTTGGCCAACAGAGTAGGCTATTGTCATGCCATGTCTCAACTTGCATCCTCTATGACGTGTGCATGTTGCTTTGTTCTCCAAGAGACAAGATGAATTGTTAGATGAAAGCAAAGCAGCAGAATGAACAGGAATTTCAACTTCTTCTAAGCTGCCAATATTTCAGAGATTAGGACTCTCGGTCTAGTTCTCCAGGTACACATACCCCCACCCCCAGATGCACACAAAAAAATGGCATCGTTACAACTAATCTTTAGTGGGAGCCCTTCAGTTAGTCTCAGTTTCAAGATTAAGGACTGAAAGGATTAAGGAGATCAAGCTACGCAAGGTCTGGAAGACTTGCTACTCTAAACCTCTGAAGCAGGCACCTTTCATGAGCACTAATTTAATTACTTTTCTACTTTTGGAAAACAAACAGAGAAATGATTAATTCCATTGGAAGCACAGAATGGTTAATAACTGAAAGGAACCATTCATTTATTCCAAGTCCTGTCCATTTGTCCCTTCTGTGGATACTTGTCTTTCCAGTTATACTTCATGGTAGCCCCTCATGATGAAATGCTATTTGCTTTCATCTTTGCTCTTCTACATGTATTTCTTGTTATCTTTTTGACAAAGTGGTCTCCATTGCCTCTTTAGACTGGATAAAAAAAATCTTAAAATAGGTCAGAAGATTGCTAGCAGCCTTTTCTTTGCCATTATAGCTTTAAGTTAGGGATGCCTTTGGAGATGAAATACATCATCGCTACTCAATATTTGTAACCATTAATAGGAACAGTTGACAGCCTCCAAGTTAATAAGCACAGTTTAGGTGTTGTGGAATAGCCAGCATACAAAACAAATAAATCCCCAAATCTCTCTCTGTTTTTATTTTATTTTATAGATTTCAAATGAGGTGAGAAAACGATTAGCTACTGAACCATTAATGACTCTTTCAAGCTGGTGCTGGCAGAGCCAACATGAGGATGACTGAGCACAGCAGCGGTCACAATAGGCTTGTCAGCCCCCAAGGAAATAAGCTCAATTGCCAAAATGCTTACAAAGAAAGCACTGGAGCAGGGATGAAAAGAATGCAGAAACGATTTCTCCACAAGGATGGGAGCTGCAACGTGTATTTCAAACACATCTTTGGGGAATGGGAGAGCTACATGGTCGACATTTTCACCACGTTAGTGGACATAAAGTGGCGCCATATGTTCGTGATCTTCTCTTTGTCCTACATCCTTTCATGGCTGTTTTTTGGCTTGGTCTTTTGGCTGATAGCCCTCCATCACGGAGATTTATTGCGTAATGCAGACATCAACCCTTGCGTTGCTAATGTCCACAGCTTCACAGGAGCATTTTTATTCTCTCTCGAAACCCAAACTACCATAGGTTATGGCTTCCACTGTGTCACTGAAGAGTGCTCTGTAGCCATCCTCATGGTGATCCTACAGTCAGTATTAAGCTGTATTATTGACACTTTCATAATTGGAGCTGCTTTGGCTAAAATGGCGACAGCTCGAAAAAGAGCTCAGACCATCCGTTTCAGCTACTACGCTGTTGTAGGCTTAAGAGATGACAAGCTTTGCCTCATGTGGCGGATAGGTGATTTCCGGCCAAACCACATGGTCGAAGGCACAGTGAGAGCCCAGCTTCTGCGCTACAAGGAAGATAACGACGGGCGAATGTCGATGGAATACAAGGACTTGAAGTTATTAAATGACCAGATTATACTCATTACACCAGTGACCATTGTGCATGAGGTCGACCGTGAGAGTCCTTTGTATGGTTTGGATCGGAAGGCTTTGGCCAGGGACAGCTTCGAAATCCTGGTTACGTTCGTCTACACTGGAGATTCCACTGGGACGTCACACCAGTCGAGGAGCTCCTACATCCCTCGAGAAATTCTCTGGGGCCATAGGTTCAATGATGTCTTACAGGTGAAGAACAAATACTACCGAGTAGACTGCATACAGTTTGAAGAAACCACGGAGGTTTATGCTCCGTATTGCAGCGCAAAGCAACTGGACAGGAAGGAACAAGAATGGAACAGAATTGAGAAAACGCTGGAGAAGGAAACAGGTTCATCAACCCTGGGAGTCAAGGAGAAATCATTTAGTGCTGTTGCCCTGATTAGCCATTTTGAAGAACTAGACGACCCCAGGAAAGCTGTCAAGCAAGCTTCGACTGAAATACCTTATCAGAAGACTTCAGTGACTTTAAGTAGACGCTCATTGGAGTCTCAGATCTAGCTGTTCACTGCAATTAAAGTTACTGCCATCAAATTTTCCTGAAAGCATCCCTAAGACATCAAGCTCATTCACAAGTATTACCACAGAATTAATTCTAACAGTATGCGACTGCAGTGTAGACAAACATTGAACATAGTCATCCAGTATGACGTCCGCCCTGCAGTCCAAATAGTCAGTGCTGCCTGTTTGATTTAGAAGCTGACTTCCCAATTAATTGGGAATTGGCTACCCATATTTTATGTGAGGCCTAGAAAGTTCCATGCAATTCTTTCCAATAAATAATGAGAATACCCCTTCAATTTGAATTGTGCATTTGAATTTTTAAAATTCTTTTTAAACAGATTTTTAATTGGTATAGTAAGTTTGGAGTGCTGTTGTAGCCAGAATAGTCGAGGAAATGTCAAGAGGCAAGGCTTTTTTTTGTGCTATCTTTCACTGAGCCAGCTGTATATTTAGGAGAGCTGTTGGACAAGCTTTTGGGCACGTGCCCAAAAGGTGTGCAGCAGGTCTCTCAGCTGCAACAGGTGGTCCAATAAAAGATCTCACAAAAAAGATCATTTTTCAGTTGATATATAGAGTGATAGAAAGTTTAGAAAGTTCTAATTTTTGGTGGCCAAAATATTTTGCAGTAATCAATTCATTTATAGTAAAATCAATCAGGACTCACAGTTTTGATGATCTCTTTTATTAGACCAACAAGATTTTTGCAAAAAAA